AAAAGAGAGAGAGAGAGAGAGAGAGAGAGAGAGAGAGAGAGAGAGGAAAAAAAAGTGAAATTGATTTGGACTGAAAGAAAATTTTTCTGAATAATTTCACTGACAATGAGTTGCATGTTGATATATTAATGATATTAATTCATTCCTGTTAATCAGATTCATTTGTTATTTTGTGAAGTGAAGAATTAATAATAAAACTAATCCTAGTTATGAAAATATAGGTACGATGTAAATTTCTTCTTGGCAGAAGAGATACTAGCTATTGAGAAATAGGAATAATAAGCAGACCGTGGGATTTCAAAGTGAAATAAAAATTTTTAAAAAAGAAGAAAAATCACTCTTACCAGAACGACGTATGGGAACAGAGCAGTGAAATAGACAACCTTGCCCGAGCTTTGAACACCTTTGCTCAGACAGAGGAAGACGATGATCCAGGCTAGCAGAAGGTTCACTGCCATCGAGGGTCGAATCGAACCTGTCTCCTCGATACCACTACTCATCCCCAACACGTGATTGCTGCGTACATCATTGAAATCATATAATTAGGAAAATACTTCGAAATTACTACGAAATTCATGAATTATATAATATAAAGCATAATAATATAAAAGTATATTAAATTCTTACTTAAAATATTCCTCAGCCGGTGGTTTTCTAATGGCACTAGTGATATTTTCGATAGTCAAGCCCATAGAGGCCATCTGGGTGGAATTTAAGCATTTCCCTTTGAAATAGCTCATGTTTTGAGACACGCAGGCCTCGGCAACTTCTGGCATGAAGCAATCTTCCGTACTCCATGGTGGCTCGCACTTGCTCCATGGCAATTTACCTGCTCCTGTACACATTGATTATGATATTAATATTTCTTTGTATGCTCAATAATGTTCCTTTGACTCTGAATTATATTTATGAGTCGATCCGTATTTAAGTTCACTGAAATATCGAGTTTGAAGTATTGATGTATAACCATCGGCAAAATAATGTGTTTAGCTTTCAGAATATATATTAAATCGAACATTTAAGAATTTATATCTTAAAATAAAAATGGATTATTGTCCTCGAATGGTCTTTACTGTCATGCCATTGTTTTTATCGTACTCTCCAAACGACAACTAGATTTCTTTATTACACGATTGACCTGTTACACAACATCCCCGTTTCACTGAAACGAAACCTCTTTCCATTAGCCCAAGTTTAGAATACCACCCAAGTGTTCCATCTCTCTCTTTATCCTCTTTCTCGCCAGATATTTAATTTTTCATACAATAGAAAGAAAAAAAAAAAGACACAAAACTCACACCGCGAAACCCAGATACTCGTCGACACTTGAAACATAGTAACCTACACTCAGACAGATCAATAATTCACGCATCGCGTGTTTGCGTTTACAAAATTTTTCAGACACTAATGCCTTTTAGGGAGAGAAAAGTCATTAATCATAGACCAAATGGGAACATGATCTCCGGAACAGATATGTATGTGACGCTGGTTTCTGGATAGCACTTTGTGCGACGTGTAACAGAAGAAAACGAAGAAAAAAAGAAAGAAATAAAACAAGCACGTATATAGGGATATACACTCCCGTTCAAAGTCTAAGGACAATTTTTTACTTTTGACACTTATTTATTGTACATTTGATATTATTATTATAGTATATATTTAATATTTAACAATAAAATTATTTACCTTTGTATCGTTTTAATTTTAATTTTCATAAATATCAACAGGCATTAATAAATATATTTAAATTCAAACGTTTCAATCCTCAAGTATTACTTTAATCCCTCCGATTGCGAAACAAATATAAAACTTTTTTAACGAGGGTGTACAATATGGATGAAATCATTTGTTAACCCTCAAACGACATAGTCGGCATATACCTAACTAACTACAATAATTACTGAAACTTAAAAATATTTGCTTTTACTTCATATTCCGTATTTCCCGTAAATAAAGATTCGAGTTGAAATGAAAAATTCCGAAGCTCGTTTTAATTTAACTTGAAACTTGTCGTGGTGTCTCCGATATGTTGTCCAGTGATATAGTGGTATTCAATTAGGAAATTAAAACTCACCGGCCACGGAGACGAAGATGTAATAAAGGGTCCAGGCGATGATTAAGTTGTAATAGAGCATCACCACCGAGCTGACCAACACCATTCCGTATCCCAAGCCACGCAGCAGGGGGCAGAAACGTTTGTACGCCGCCACTGGGCCAAGGCTCGCGTACTGCCCTG